CTTCCTTTGGCCTCTTTTTTTCCCCCAGTCTGTGAAATCTGGGAAGGCTGCCCAGTGCCACCCTTATTCACCTTGGCCATGATGTAAACCCAGAGAAATTAGCAGCCCCATCTTCTTCCTTTTTCCACACCCGGAGTCATTTCCTCTTACCTGGGATTTCTGTGTCTATGTTCCCTTCGAGTTACTGATACACACAGAGAGACAAGGGAAAAAAGGAACTTCTTGAAATTCCCCCAGAAGGTTTTGACACTAGTTTTCAATGTTGCAATTGGAACTAATCAGTTTCTAGTTTGGGTTTCCATCAGAAAGTTCTGTAGGAGTAGAGTATATAAGCTCCAGGAGCAGCCCAGCAGAACAGTGGTCCAAGCCCATCAGACCAGGCAGCCTCAGCAAAGCAAGGTAAGTGCCCTCCTGATTCCTAAGCATTATGCATTCCCTGAGCCAAGTCTGTCCAGACTTGAACTCCACAGGGGTGCTAACCCTGCTCCTGGCAGTGTGGGGGTTGGGTGGTGGTTCTAGAAGCCTCTCTAGTGATTTATCTATTGGGACACTATTGAAAACTAGGTACTTTAAGGACTGATGTATAAAATGTTCATTTACAAAGTCAACTAATTACAGATGTGGTGGCACTTACCTGTAATGATCCCAGTTTTGAGAGGTGGAGGCAGAATTATCAGAAGTTCAAAGTTAGCCTCAGCTACATAATGAGTTTGAAGCTCGCCTGAGCTGCATGAGATCCGGTTTCAATAAAAAGTCAGCTATTAATAATGCCTGTGATAGAAAAGTTAAAGCTTTGTCTGTATAGATGCATACAAATGTGTGTATGCTCTTAAATATTAATGCTTATCTTTAAAGATTGTCGTTAACTTTAGTGCTTGCCTTAGTATTGAAAGCCTTTTTAAAGCCTTTCATACATTCCTTAAAGTTACTGAACTGATAACTGGATGTTACAGATCATACTTCCTTCCCTGCTTTCAATGTGCTTTGGAGTCAGCTGTGATAACCCAACTGAACAGCTGAGTTCTGCGGCTTTTGTTTTTTTAAAAAAATTAACTTTGCCACTGCTTCAAGCAAGAGTCATACTCAAAACTACTTCTGGAAGTGGTCTGAAATCTGTGAAAGCGGGAGGAAAGATCGCCTTCACTGGATTGCTTTCTATGCTTGCCCAGGTATCATTGGGGTGCAGCAGAATGATCAGGTTGACATCTCATTTCAACACAGGGATTGTTAAGCCTCAGCTGATGGTTCACTGTATTGAAGCAAGGAATTTCAAGATATTGGATGGGTATTAGGTGACCTCTAAGAGTTCATTTTGTTGAGATCTGAGATGCTATGATTTCTACACTTCATTCATTCTACCAATAATTCATGAACTCCCTCTAGGCTAGACCCTGGGTGTAAAACAAGACAGACAGGATCAATGGCATCAAGACCTGAGTGTAGAGGGACAGGCATTAAAGATGTAGCTAAATTATGGCCATTGTCGTAAGTGTCACGGAAGGAGAAGGGCAGGTGGTGGGGCCCCCACTTCATCTGGGGACTATGCTGGGCACGTTTTGGGATTATTTTGTGAACTCCTCACCCCCATAGGATACTCATTTTACAGTCTAAGAGTATGAGGTTTGAAGAGGGCGATGTGATGAGCCAGCGTCACATAACTAACAAGTGGCAGAGTTGGGATATTAATCCTAGAGGTCTGCCTGGCTCTGGAAGTCGGGCCCTTTGCATATACCACCCATGGCACATGTGACTGTATATTTTTATTTTTAAGCATTTCTCTTTTCTAATTAAAAAGTAACAAGATGAAACTTGCAAAAGAGATGCCTACTTGTGTCATGGGTGTCTCTGTGTGGGCTGTATTTGCATACTCTAAGAAGCTGAAGTGCTTGACCTGGGGTCCTTGTGTCCCTCATACAACCATTTTAAGACTTCAGAAATTTATGAAATCACATGGGGAAAAAACCGAATTGTTAAGACTCAAGTCTACCACACCAAAGAATTGTGGGGTGAGGGATACAGCTCCCCAGTATCAGCTAATCAACCAGAGAGCCAAAGCATGGCCACACAGGAACAGGGCTGTTCTCCAAGATAGAATTTTTGCCTATCTGTCTTCGGTTAAGAGGGCTTTCCGCCGCTGTCTCCACTGTCTGCCAGTGTTCTAGTGGTCTAAGATGTGGGTGAGGCTGAATTGGGGATTATTTCTGGACCATTGCCAAGTTACTTTCAGCCTGAGAAACAATTTACCTGCAAAGTTCAAATGTATCTGAGGCCAGAGAGGAAGTGTTTGGCACTTGGCCAAAGGGAAAATCCCGGCATTAAAAGGTTGTAAAGGGATCACCAGGAGATGCCAGGAATCTCCGCAATTTCTTTTCCCTGAGTGCCACCATCTGGGCTTTACAGACCAGTGTAATTGCACCACCTCTATGGGCATTTCCCTATAGCCTGGCAGACTTTTTTTTTCAATCTATTATATTCAAAATAGAGAGAGGTCCAAGTTTTCCTTTATTGCTTCTGCTAGTCCAGTATGTCGTCAGTTGCCTTCTGTGACATGTCATCTCTGTACGTGACCCGACTGCCCTTTAAGACCATGTAAGTCTTTGCTGTGTCCTTTTTACAGAGTGAGGCTCAGAGCAGCATGACTGACACCACACAGCTACTGAAATAATAGGGCCAGAATCCAAGCCTGTGAATGTACCAACCAGTGCCCTGTGCCAACTAGCATCTGACTACATCATAGTCAAATGGATAGCCACATATCTAAAACTCCATCTTGCAGTGGCAATGGTGTGCTGAGCAGTATACAAAGCCTGGCTTCCAGTCCCGTCTCTGTCACTTGTGATATTTATAAGGGGATAGAGTGTACAATAAGGTCCTCTTAAGGTTGACTGCAGTTCCATGATCCCTGACCAAGGCATGCTCATCTCTAAGATATTTGTCTGGAAAGTTTAAGCCTTATTCTTCATATGAGTTAGACCTCTGGGCTCTGAAATCATGTCTTTGCAGGACAGTGGTATTCTCCAAGATAGATTAAGGTGTTTCCAAAAGAAACTAAACCCTAATCATCTCTACCACATTTATAAATGGGGAATAATTTTCACAGTCTAATATTTCTACATACCCTGGATGCTAATCTAGACAGGGTTTTAATATAAAATGATGGCTGATTTAGCACAAAGTTATACACATCATTATTTCATGGTAGGTAGAACAATATTTATAGTTTTCTGTCAAAGAACACCTTGATTTTTCAGGAGTTCCTACACATGAACTAACACTGGTTCTCAAAATGTGGTTCCCAAATAATTTGTCCATCAACAGATGAATGGATAATGAAAATCTGGTATATCTCTATATATAAGCCTATATGAATATTATTCAGCTCTAAAGAAAAATGAATCCTTACAGCAAAATGGATAGACCTAGAATATACAATATTAAGTGAAGTCACCCAATCTCAGAATGTAAAACATTGCATGTTTTCCCTCATATGTGGTTTTTAGCTTATAATGTCTATAAGGACATATGTAAACAAATGCTGATGTGAATATACTCTAATATTTAGAATCTAGAACAAGAAAGGGTAATTTGAAACGAAAAGGAGCATAGTTTTTGTCTTTTTTATGGTGGATGGGTATGTTCAACTTTCAGCTTATTGAAATCACAGAACCATCTCTGCATCCCATAAGAGTCCAATAAGTATAGTCCCTTTCAGGCAGTAATTGTGAGAGTTAGGCTTCCTTACTTATTCCCTTGACCAACAGTGCAGTGGAAATTTGACATAGATGGACAAGCTGAGTAAGATAAGTAATACCGTTATTGTTCTTGGTAACTACTTTTTATTTTGCTATAAATTTTCTAACTTTCTAATAAAACTTAAATTTTAAAAACTATGGTCCCTGGACCAGCAACAGCAGCTTCTCCCAGAACCTCAGGGTCTCATCCCAAGATGTGTTTGAATCAGACACTAGACAGAGACTCGGGGGTCTTAGTCTTACTTTTTAGTTTTCATTATGAGGAACAAAGTCATCTTGGAATCTGGAGCAATTGTTGCCTAAATCAGACAGCTTAAAACTTGTAAAGGTCATTGCTAGAACTTGAAAGTTCACCTCTGGATTACCTTTCCCACACCTAACCTGGTCCTTTACTCTTAAGCACCCTAACCCATATTGCCTTCTGGACTACAATGCAGCTTCCTCTCAGGACAGGATCATATCCCACGCTGGCAGAGGTACTATCTGGAGTATGGGCTTGTTCGCTCCTGGAAAGCAATGTGTAGGTGAAGCCTTTTCCCACTGTGCTCTCATTCAGTGCTTTTTAAGTATTATGCTAATATTGTTGCCAGAACTAAGTAAATAACTGCTGAATGTTACCCAGAGAAGCCATGATCCTTCTCTAAGCTTGTGTTTCTCATCCTTAAAAAAAAAAAGATAGTGGGGGATGGGAAGATGACTCAGCATGTAAAAGTGCTTGCTACATAAGCCCGATGATCTGAATTTGATTCCCAGAACCCATGGTGGAAGGAGAGAATGAACTCCCAAAAGTTGTCCTCTGACCTCCACACACATGTGCGCGCACACACACACACACACAGATAACAATTTTTTTAAAAAAGAAGGTGATATCAGATGGCTGGGCCTTAGGATTCTTTCAGTTACACACACACACACACACACACACACACACACACACACACACACAGATAACAATTTTTTAAAAAAAGAAGGTGATATCAGATGGCTGGGCCTTAGGATTCTTTCAGCTCCAGACAGCCTATGGTTCTAAATCTGGAGCTGTTCTTACCCAAAGACAGGATGTGGCGTCTATAATTCTTACCTGACAGTGTGGAGAAGAAAAGGAAAGTCAAGATTAAAAATGCAGACAGAATGTGGGTAGAGTTCCCAGCACTAACTGGACACTGGTTAACAATCTCTCTTCTCTTTCCCTTCCCCTTCCACCTCTTTTTCTCCTTCTCTTCCTCCTGCTTCTCCCCCTCCTAACAGATGTGTCGTCAGAAGCTGACCATCTCCTGGTTTGCCCTGGTGTTGCTGGCGTCTCCACTCATGGCCATATGGGAACTTGAGAAAGATGGTAACTGGCCTTTCCTTGTTTTCTATGGCAGCCCCCAATTCTAAGTCAGAGCTCTCAGCAGCCCTGCTGGGAAATGGGGCTTGTGTGGCCAGCCATGCTGGGTCTCCATGAGAAGGAGAGCCCTCACTCTGGGAAGATGCAAAGCTCTCTTCCCTTCTTTCATTTTCAGGGTCTCTGTATTGTTTAACTTTCATGTTGGATGCCAGGAAAGGAGCTTTTTGTGGACTATGATGGGAAAAGAGATGAGTTTTTCACCAATAGTACTAAAAAACGACTGTTTCATACCTTTGAAATTCCCAAGGATTTGAAAAGTAGAAAAACTATCATCTGCCGTCTCCCACTCTTTCATACCTCCCTGTCCTCTCACTTGGCATTGTGATGACTTAAATTGGGGAAAACATGGAATTGCCACATCGATTTCGGCTCAAGTCATAATTCTGCAAAGTATTGGTTCCAAAGCCTGGAGCTGAGTTACCTCAGAGCCTCAGTTTTCTCAGCTGGGTGTTCAAACTGACACCAACCACATGGCTTATTAAATATGTGAATGAATCCAGAAAACAGCTCAACATATGGAAGAGTGAACATAAATATTAGCAAGCACTATCGTTTTGGCTGTTTTTAAATTTGTTTACTTAACTCTTTATTTTTTATGTGCATGAGTGTTTTGCCTGCATGTATACAAGTGCATATCCGTGGAGACCAGAAGAGGGCATCAGAACCCCTAAAACTGGAGTTAAGGATAAGTATTAGCTGTCATATGGGTGCTGAGAACCGAACCCAGGTTTTCTGTAAAAGTAGCCTGTGCTCTTAACCAATGAGCTATCTCTCCAGGTCTGTTTTGATTGTTTAAAACAGTGCCTCTGAACTTCTCATTTTCTAAGGGACTGATAAAATTATTAGTAAACTAATAGTGTTAGTATAATAACAAGCTCTCTCTATCCTTGTAATGTCTCACAATAAATAGCCATCAACTTGATTGTCAGTCACACCCAAAAGGACATCAGATGTTTCATTAAAGCCAATATAACAATGTTGGTAATGACTGTCTTTATGACTATATTGATATAAAGAGCCAATATATGTTAATGATATTGATTTTACATAAATTTATTGATTTATAAATGTATTAATATTTTTATACATATTATATTGTTTCCTATTTATTATATTGATTTATAGTTATAGGCATTTCATCTATTAATATTTATCAATTCTTGGAGAGTTATTATAAATATATAAATTAATGGATTGATAAAATTGTTGATATTTATTGAACACAAGATCTCATTTAATTTTATAACCATGAGAAGCAGGGACCATCAGTACTCCATTTTATGGATGTTGAAAAACTGAGGATCAAAAACTTAAGTAATGTCATGTGCCTGGCAAGGATGGAATGGTGACTTGAACTCAGTTTCACCTCACTTAAGTATTATATTTTACAAGAAGGGCATGAAGCAGTTGGTTCCTGTGCCCTTTAAGAGCTGAGCAAGAGGAAATGGGGAAAGATTTCAACTTGTCAGAGACAACCCTCGATAGCCAGGACAACACAGTACAAAATGGGTATTGAAGGAAATTTGGAACCAGTCTTTCATTATGAGGATTTTCAGGGTCAGGCAAGATGGCACAGTAGGTAAAAGAACTTGCCACAAGCTTGATGGTCTGAGTTTAATCCCTGGGATCTACATAGTATAAGGAAAGAATGGATTTCTACAAGTTGCCCTCTGATCTCCACACATGTGCTGGGCCATGTGTGCATCCATACACACAAACACACTCACCACTCACACACACACACACACACACACACACACACACACATATATGTAAACATACACACACATGCAATAAATAAGTGTAATTTTTTAAAAAAATTCAGGAAGACAACAGTCTGGCCCCTACCCCATGTAGGTCAGAATTTTTATCCTTCTCCTAAGTAAAGCTTTGACCATAACCAGATCCCCTCAAGCCTCAGGAACTGAGGCCCTGGCAGTCATAACCCCTTGGTAACTTCTGGCATGGTAAACAGCACAAATTATAGAAAGTCACTGTGAGAAACCTTGTGAGAGGGCTTGTAATGGAGGAGACAAGATGCCGGCCTGGAGCCCAGCAGACTCCCTCCACTCCTCCATTTCCTCTGTCAATTGTTTCCCCACCCTGAGGCCAAGATCTTCTGGGACTTCTGAGTCTCAGTTGTAGCAGGAAAATAACCACAGTGTAGCTGTTCATTTGCCTTGGGGACAAAGAGAAACTGGAGAAGCCAAAGGTTCCTGTGGCTTGCTGTCAGCACAGCTAATGATTTCCAAAGAGTTCAGCCCCAAGCGATTTTTACCTCTTATCTTTGTTTCCCATTTAGCAGTTAAAATCCCATGATGTAAAGTGAGAACTTTACCTTTCACAATGCTTTATACTTGGATGCCAGTCCCAAGAGCCACCATGTATAGGGCACTTAAGGGCACTGGGTTAAGCTCTCATACAAATTAGCTTGTATGTGCCCTGCTAAAGGAAGCACTAATATTTTATTTTCATTAAAAAAAATGATATTGGAATTGGGCATGGTGGTTTGGGCCTGTAATCCTAGTACTAGGGAGACTGAGGGAAGAAGATAGTTCTGAGTTTGAGGCCAGCTTGGACTACAAAGTAAGTTCTGGACTAGCATGGACTACAGAGTTAAACCCTGTCTCAAAACCCCAAAACAAAAATGATGGCATAAAGCTTAAAGAAGCTCAGCATCCCTCCCTACACCCAAGCTGTGGGGTAATGTAAGGCCTTGAGCTGGTTCTGATCCATAGATATGATGCTCCAAACCCAAGCTCTTCACCACGGTAGCTGCCAGATCTAAGCAGGTGCCAAGATCACCTGGAAGACTTGCAAAGGGATCACTGGGCCCATTCCAACTTCCAAGGAGTTTCCTGGGGGTGTCGATGATGGCAGGTGGGAACTCATCAGACTTTGAAGACTAGTGCATTAGTCATTGTTTCAAATTAATAATTGATAAGTGTTTAAACAGGTGAATGAAGCTTTGATGTGATACTTCCTAGAATACTTCATCGAGCCATTCCTTAAGGCTCCATTTCCATACTGGCTGTAGAGACCAGAGGCCTGACATCTACCTCTTCACATTTCATGCTTGATAGGGTCTTACTTATCCTTTGACCTCAGTACCTCCCTTCATAGAATGGGAAGACTAGCATCTATTCCTTCATAAGAATATAACTTTAATAATAAAAAAAAGACAATTAAAAGCTCCAATGGTGAATTTCATGCAGAAAGAACTAAATCCTCATGGAGAATTTTAAGAGTTTTTCAGTGCATTTGGCTGACTCTGATCTGTGAATGATAATAACAACAATAGTAACAACTAGCAGAGCTTCCTGTGAAGCAGATACTGTGCTAGGGGCCTTGTGTGCTTTTTTCTTCTAATTCTCACAGCCAAACTTAACTAGTATTTACCAAACAGAGATACTCTTGTTCCTATCGCTTTGCAGATGAGGATGCTAAGGACTGTGGTACTCAATACCTTGCTCAAAATCCCCTCTCCAGTTAGAAGAGATAAGACCTCAGTCCTTTCTTCCTTCCCATCTTCTTCCATACCCTACGCTTTAAGCCACTGTGTGACTCTAGCAAATACTTATTCCCCGTGAAACTGCAGTTGTGCTAGTGTATCCCCCACCCCTGCCTCTGGCAGAAAATCTTGTGCTGTTTGCATTTTTTCTTTATTTCAAGGTCTTTCCCTTGTGTGTGCAAATCAGAGGCTAATTATTACAAGTAACCTGTCAGTTAATGAGTCGATTGCTGTTATAGACTCTTTGCTTCTCTATTCTGAGACCTTGGGTCCAGAGAGAGCCCCATGTCCTAAGATCATCTCAGCAAGCCTTTGCCAAATGCTTATAAGCAAGGTTATGCCTAGGCAGTAGGGATGCCTAGGCAGTGAATGAAACCCAGTGCCAGAGTTCACGGAGCTCACAGCCCAAGTCTTCACTGCTGGTGTTCTGCAGTTTATGTTGTAGAGCTGGACTGGTACCCTGATGCCCCTGGAGAAACAGTGGTCCTCACCTGTGACACTCCTGAGGAAGAGGGCATCACCTGGACCTCAGACCAGAGCAGTGACGTCTTAGGCTCTGGCAAAACCCTGCCCATCCACGTCAAAGAGTTTGTGGATGCCGGCCGATACAGCTGCCACAAAGGAGACAAGGTGCTGAGCCATTCCACCCTGATGCTTCACAAGAAGGAAGATGGGATTTGGTCCACTGATATTTTAAAGGACCAGAAAGGTAATTCTACCCTTTGGGTTAGTGTCTATTTTCATCCCTCCTCCTTTTTCATATGTGTATTGAGTATGTGTATGTGTATACATACTATGCACATGTGTGTACAGGTACATATGTATGTATGTGTGTATGTGGAGGCTTGTCATCCTCAAAAATACTGTTCACTTCCTTTGAGTCAGGATCTCTCACTGACCTAGAGCTCACCAATTAGACCAGGTGACCAATGAGCCCCAGAGATCCTCCTGTCTCTGCATCCCCAGCTCTGGGATTACAAATGCATGCTATCACACCTGGCATTTTTACATGAGTGCTAAGGATTGAACTCGGGTCCTAATGCTTGCAAGACAAGCACTTTATTGACTGAGCTCCCAGCTCATTTGCCCCTCTAAAATACAATAATAAAAAATTGAAAAGGCAAGGCATGGTTACTGCAATTCATGAATAAACAGCAAGTCCTTTCGAAAACCATCTAGAACTTCCATTTCTCTTCACTTTCTTTGAATTCTTAAACTATTGGCCATTAAAAATCTCATATTGAGAAAGTTGTCTGTCTGAATGCTTGCCCTGAAGTTTTCTTTGAGTAACAGGGATGTTATTGGATACGTGGTAGAAGTTAATCAATGTGTACAATTCTGGGGTGATGGCTTTGAAAAACATGAGTGTTTCTGTCTGCTGGGTGTACAGTAGGTGTGTGAATGCTCTACATAATCAGCATCCTATAGGGGCACTACCAATCTGTGTTGAAATACTTACCAAGGGAGCAGGAGCCTTTTCCAATAAAATAAATGAAAGAACACCCTGCTGGGCACATAGCTCAATGGTAGAGCACTTGCCCGGTATGTGCAAGGCCCTGAGTTCAATTCTCAGTACCACAAGAAGAAAAAAAATAGAGTATATCTAACCAGGCATGATGGCTCATGTCTATACTCAGTACTTGGGAGGTGGAAAGAGAAGAAATCAGGAGTTCAAAGTCATTCTTTGGCTACATAGCCAGTAGTATATCTAACCAGGCATGATGGCTCATGTCTATACTCAGTACTTGGGAGGCGGAAAGAGAAGAAATCAGGAGTTCAAAGTCATTCTTTGGCTACATAGCCAGCCAAAAGTCTGTCCCTGCTAGAAGAAAACTCCTAAATAGTGGATTTTTTTTTTTTCCTTTTTCAAATCCAGATCCCAAAAATAAGACTTTCCTGAAATGTGAGGCAGTGAATTACTCCGGGCGTTTTACCTGCTGGTGGCTGACGGCAATCAGCACAACAAAAGTCTGTCCCTGCTAGAAGAAAACTCCTAAATAGTGGATTTTTTTTTTCCTTTTTCAAATCCAGATCCCCAAAATAAGACTTTCCTGAAATGTGAGGCAGTGAATTACTCCGGGCGATTTACCTGCTGGTGGCTGACGGCAATCAGCACAGACGTGAAGTTCAGTGTCAAGAACAGCAGTGGGTAAGGGAGTCCACTCTGCTTTCCCGAAATTCTGCAGAATGGCTTCATTAAGAAATTAAGGAAAAGCTGTTCATACACTTCCAGTGAATGAAAAGCTGAAAAGCAAAGTCAATTCCATAGTTTTTTCGACCTCCCTCCACTAGCCTAAGTTGAGGAAAAGCATGGAGATTTAAGTCAATCCTCCGAGAATAAGGTCTGGAGCATTTGAATTCGCTTGTCCAAATTGCCTGGTGTCCTAGTTTGTTTCTTCATTGCTGTGACAAAACACTCTGATCACTACCAACTTGGGGAGGAAAGGGTTTATTCAGCTTACATCTCCCAGGTTGTACTTCATCAGGGAGCCCAAGGTAGGAACTCAGGGCAGGACCCTGGAAGCAGGAGCTGGAGCATAGGCCATGGAGGAATGCTGCTTACTGGTTTGCTCCCTTGGCCCCTGCTCAGCCTGCTTTCTTATGCAACACAGGCCCACCTGCCCAGGGGTGGCACCACCCACAGTGGGCTGGGCCCTCCCACATCACTTATCAAGAAGATGCCCTTCAAACATGGCCACAGGCCAGTCCAATAGAGGCAATTCCCGGATTGAGGCTCCCTCAACCCAGGTGTGTCAAGTTGACACTAAAGCTATCCAGCACACCTGGGAAATGCCTCATTAAGGTTCAAAGCACCACAGGGAGAAATAAAAAGAACTTGCAGCTACAAATGACTTGCCAAAATTTTACCTTGAGTCAAAAACAGAAATAAGTGCTCCAGGGCCTGATGCAGATCCCAGAACTCCCTGTGACCTCCTTCCTGGTCTTTCCCTAGAACCATTCCAGCTTCTCTCTGTTCCAACAACACAACTATTCTGAAGTTCACTGTTTGTCCAACACATTTGGACTTTCCCTAAGAACCCAGCTTCCACAGCCGCAGATCTTGTATGTCAGTCTCCTCTGTGACTGACTGAGCCATGTGGGATGCTGGAGTGAACACCTAGGCTCTGCTACTATTTAAATGAGTAAATTGGGGTCTCACTTTCCCATCTTTAAAATGTTTACTAGAGAAATGCTCGAACACATGCACAAAGACACTGCTACATGCATAAGGGACATCGTGATGTTTTTGGAGGTCAGCAAAGCAAGAATCAAATAGATCATTCGTGCATATTTATAAAATGAATAACCCTGGGGCTGGAGAGTTGGTTCAGTTAAGGAGCGCTTACTGCTCTTGCAGTGGGCCTGAATTCGCTTCCCAGCACCCATATAACGCAGCTCACAACTGCCTGTAACTAGTTCCAGGGGCTCTTCTACCCTCTTCTGGGCTCTGTGAGCACTTAAATGCACGTGATGCATGTAAACTCATGTAGGCACGCATACACATAAATAGTTAAAAGTAAATAAATCCTGTTTTAAAAGTGATAAGACAACGTATATGCTATGTTCTGGAGGACTCTCCACAATATTTTCAGAGGGGGAAAGACAATTACAAAATCCTATGCATATAATCTTGTCTTATTTTATTTTTAAAAGCTAAAATGTATATTTTAAAAGATATGTATGTATATCTGTTAACATACACAGATAAAATATGTGTGTGTGCATGTACATGTTTATCTTGAATATTCATTGGAAAAGCTCTGGAAGTAAGCTGTGAATGGTATCTACAGCTGGGACTAACGTTTGGATTAAAAGGGATCGGATGGTAGAGATATGCATATTTCCTTGATAAACATCTTTGTCATTCTAATTTTTATAATTAGAGTATAGTTGATCTTGTAACTAATATGAGGGGATAATTAAATTTTTCATAAGGAAATTTAAGCAGATCCATAATTTTTCCAAATTCATCAAGGTTAAAGGTAGAGGTGAAGCTTTTTATCTCTTAGAGCTAAACTTACCCTCCTGGAAGGGTTGCTTCTTACCCTCTTGGGAGAAATCTTGCCCCCTGGTTAAGCTGTGTCCCTAGACTCTCCCTGGTTATAGTCACCAGAACTTGCCCTTTGACGTATAACTCAGGATCGTTTCTGTCTTGGGCTCCAGCTCCTCTGACTCCCGAGGAGTGACGTGTGGAGCAGCGTCTCTCTCAGCCGAGAATGTCACAGTGGAGCACAAGGACTACAAGAAGTACTCGGTGGCATGCCAAGAGGAGGTCACCTGCCCAGCCGCCGAGGAAAGCCTGCCCATCGAGCTGGTGGTGGAAGCCATGTACAAGCTCAAGTACGAGAATTACACCCACAGCTTCTTCATCAGGGACATCAGTGAGTTCTGCACGGCTGCTTGTGCTTTGGAAGCAAAGGTGCTGTTTGCCACAAGTTCATAGTGACCTGGGAACTGGAGGATAGGATTTCCATGCATCCTTTTTCCATGCATCTGAACCCCCTGAAAAGCGTGATGTAGAGACTATTATCTGCATTTTGCAGAGGAGGAACCTAAACAGTTAAGCTTTCTCCAGATCTCAAATCTCACAGATGTCAATCCAGACCCAGATTTGTCCCCTGTAGCAAGCATTTTGCAGCATGTCTTATCGGCTACCCAGGTAGATGACATGATGAATCCAAGAGTTCCTAGAGCTTCCCTAGTAATTACAGTTTTCACAACTAATATTTCTCTTATATGCACATGTATACATGTATCTACAAATTCCCTCCAGTGACATCCACTTCTTAATTGACATTGCAATATCACCATTTCTCCTGTCCGTTACCACCTATTTACAGAATGGGCATCTTGAAAGAATGTAACAGGATCACAGAACTTGTAGAATTTGTGCAGAGTCTGCACTTGGAGGGTGGGTATTTGTAACATGCCTATCAGGAGCAATAGTCTTTGTGTGGAATGTTCCATAGAACATGTCCATCTAGAAGAAAATGCCATTTGAGGATTGTGACACTCACTGTATCTTCCAGACAGAGTCCTAGTGGTGGCACATAATGGATGCTCAGAATTACCGAACAAATAAATAGACAAGCTTGGAGACAGTTGCCTCTAAAGGTTACAAGACAAGTTCATGCCAGACACTATGGAAAGAAAAAGAGAAAGTTGTAAATGGAAAACCTCTCATATCATCCCAGCAAGTATCGAGGCCAGCTCTGTGCTTAGAACAAAGTGAGGGATCAAGTGAAGAGAGGGTGTCTTTGGCCTCAGAGCCCGGATGGAACTCTTTTCCAAGTTGAGTGACTCCAGCATCAGGGCCTGTCAGGTTGTGCAGTGATGAGAAGGGTTTCAAAATATAAGGTGGCCATTGATGGTGATGTCCACCATGGAAGGAACAGAGGTACCTCATGGGTGCTGGCCAGGTGCTCAGAGAAGGTAAAGAACTAGCCTGTAGACTCCCAGCTGTCAAAGGTGGAATGAGGATCCAAAGCCAAAACCACCTAGTTCCAAAGCCCTGTTGGAACAGCGAAGGATGCTTGTTCTCCTCCACAGTCAAACCGGACCCGCCCAAGAACCTACAGGTGAAGCCTTTGAAGAACTCTCAGGTGGAGGTCAGCTGGGAATACCCTGACACCTGGAGCACTCCACATTCCTACTTCTCCCTGACGTTCTCTGTGCAGACCCAGCGCAAGAATGGACAGGTTTGATTGAATGCAAGTGTAGTGTATTCCAGTCAGGTTTATGTAGGATCATGCTAGGTGGAACGTGATGATCACAACCACTAGGCACTTGCTACATGCCTCAACCTGTGTAAAGGGCTCTCCATGTACATGACACACAACGCACACAAAGAACCCTATGAAGGCAGGCAGTGTTACTGTCACTACTTCACAAAGAGAGACAGTGGAGCTCAGACAGGTTGTGATTAGCCCAGGGTCACCCAGCTAGGAAAGCAACAGAACCAGGACCCAGAGTCATCCTGCTGGACACAGACTGTGAACCCATCATCCCAGATACCTTCAGTACAGTTAGCAATTAATCCTTGCATTAAAACTGGCTACGTCATAAGAGAGCTGGGGTCCAGGAGCCTAAAATGATGATTTCAACTGAGTGAACATGGTTAGTGGAAGATTGGTTCCATGTTTCACCCAACATGGGTGATTCCTACTTGTTCCAAATACTGTGCAATTATTTCACAAAGCAAGATGCCTGCACTTACACATTTTAACTCAATGGCTTTCCAACTTTTTGGTCATTAATGTCATGATCTTTTGCCTCTTGCAAGTTTCCAGAGACCATTTTAAAGAGCCTTAGTATCTGTAGCCCACACTTTTAAAGTCACTGATCAAAGCCCTCATTCATCATAGCATTTAGTATGTGGGAACATCTCAGTGATTCAATCACTCCCTTTAAAAGGGAACAGAAAATGAGGTTATTTTGAAACAGACTTTAAATATTACCTAAAATCTTGCTAAGTACCATTCCTCTTTAGATTAGGATATTGCTAGTAGGTAATATTGAGTTCTTTCTACTTACTAAAAACTTCTAAACATTTTTATATAATTACTATGTGGTTGTGTCTGTCTGTGTGTGTATACACAAATGCCACAGTGTGCATGTGGAGAACAACTTGCTGGACTTGGTTCTCTCCTTCCACACAGGGATCAAACTCAAATCTTCAGACTTGATAGCAGGCACTTTTCCCTGCTGAGCCATCTCATCGCCGTGATCACTATTTAACTTTTACAGTTCTCAGAGATGGGCACTATTGTTAGTCCCATTTATAAATAAGGGGAGAAAGAGAACACTTAAGACATTCTCCTCAAATTCCACAGCTATTCAGTACCACAGCCAGGGTTTGAAGTTTGTGTACCAAAAGGATAAGGATATGATGTTTCTGGATATCCAGGGGACAGCTAAAGTCTCTCAGTCCCAATATCAGCCTAGTACAGAGGTGACTGTCCAAGGTGTAATGCTGCTGTGCAGAGAGATGAAGGCTGGACCAAACCATCTCTGTCTCAGGTCTTACCAAGCAGAAAAGCAGGGCTCAGTCAATAAAGTACTTGCCACACAAGCACAGGGACCTGGATTCTGATTCCCAGAACCTACATAAAAGCTGGGTATGAGGCCTATTTGCCCAGTATTGAGAGCAGGGAAGAGACAGGCAAACTCTAGGGGCTTGCTGGCCAGCTAGTCTAGCTAAAATGACCAGTTGCACATTCAGTGAGAAGCCTCATCTCAAAAAACCAGGTAGGTGCCTGGAGAGACAGCTCAGCAGTTAAGAGCACTGGTTGCTCTTACAGAGGACCCAGGTTTTGTTCCCAGCACCCACATGCCATGGTGGCTAACAACTGTCTGTAACTCCAGTTCTTCGGGGATCTGACGCCCTCTTTTAGCCTCCATGGGCCTTGCAATACCCTGGTGCACTTATATACATGCAGGAAAAATACTCATACACTTAAAAATATAAATAAGTAAATAAATAAATAAGCAAGCAAGATGGAGAGCGATTAAAGTAGATGCCCAATGTTGACCTCCATGTGGATACACAAGCGTGTGTGTGCACACTTACATGCTTGCACACACACACACACACACACACACACACACACACACACACAAAGCCACATCTGCGTTTAGAGCTCCTGCCAGTAGATGGTGCAAGGGTAGTGACCTAAGACAGTTGTGCCTGTTTAGGGAGATCAGGCTCTGCTGAAACAGGCCAGCCTGACCTGTGATGGCTTTACCTCTTAGGTCCTTACATAGTTTCCTCTCCTTTGCAGAAAGGTGAGCTCCTCCCCACAGACAAGACCTCTGCCAAAGTCCTATGCCGCCGAGACGCCAAGGTCCACGTGAAAGCTCGGGATCGCTTCTATAGCTCATCTTGGAGCGAATGGGCTTCTGCGTCCTGCAGTTAGGTGAGCAGGTCCATGAAGTCCAGCCACACATGCATATTTCCTGTTCCCGGTGGAGGACAACAGGGGCTTTGTGGGAAAGAGGGATGGAGTTCCTTGCATGGGGAGACCAGAATCAGACACATATTTGTTCATTTAACAGATATTTATTTGGTGTCTATGTTAGATTAGGCATTATGCTAGGCACAGAAAATTTTGCAGTAAAGAGAAAAAGTATAACGCTTCCCTCCTCCAGGGAAAGGCAGGAGAGGGAGCCAGGAGTCAATCTGGGGAGGACTTGAGAGCTTCCAAAAGTTGAAACTTTCTTCTACGGGTTTTGGGAACCATCAAAGTGCTTTTAATAAGGAACTAACACAATCAGACACTTTGTTAAAGAAAACCTCTCAAGAAAGCATCTGGCAAACATGAGACCAGCCAAATTCTCAGCCCCACAGAGAAGGGCTGGGCCTTCACACAGGGAATCCCCAAGACTCAGCAGCAGGGGACAATGCACAGTAACAACTAGGAAGTTTTTGATGCCACCCTTCTGACCAACACAGGCTTGCCCACATTCCTTTTCAGGGTACGATGCCAGTATGACTTTTTGGAGGAGAAAAATGGAAGACATTAGGAAAAAAAATAAGCTCATGATGGACAAGACCCAAAAGGCTATTTTCTACTTGGTTTGCTTTCTCCGTGTTTTTTAGGTTCATAATGATATCTTTGCTACCTATGATTTTATATTTAAATGCTAAATGCCCACTGAGACAGTCAGCTTATTTATGTATAGATATTTTAGCACTCTACTTGACCTTATGCTATTTAAATATTTAAGTAATCTATGTATTTATTAATTTATTACTGTTATTTAACATTTGTGCACCAACATGTATTGAATAGTTCACATTCTCAAGGCCTGATCTATAGGGACTGGGCCCTATTATGCAAAATGTGAATTTAATTGCTATTCATATCACCAACTTTTCAAGCAGGGCTGCATAGGTACTTTGGTTTTGTGACAACCAATAAGAACATAATGTTCTGACATCAGTATTGACATATATTTAGGACAGATAGGGACACAGGAGGTGTTTAAATAGAGACACAAAGAAGCTGTGAAGGAGACTCTGAAGAAATTGATACTGGTTTTAACATCAAGGAAGACTTCCTAACACTGGTACTGATGAGCAGCTCAGGGCCACCTGTTCTTCTAAATGAACTCACCTGTACTTCTAAATCATGTCATCTAAATGAGATGAACCTTTGAGTGCCTAAATTTGAAAAAAAAAAAAAAAAAGGATCTTAAAAACCAGAAATCGAAGTCCAGGGTTGGGGGTGTAGGTCAGTTGATAGAGTGCTTGCCTAGCATGCATGAAACCCTGGATTCCATCCCCAGCACTGCATAAATGGGATGTGGTAGCTTATACCTGTAACCCTATCTCTAGAGAAGTGGAGGCAGGAGGACCAGAAGTTCAAGGTCACTCTCAACTACATAGCAAGTTCAAGGCCATTTGGGGCTACAGGAGACCCTATCTCAAGAGGGAGGGAGGAAGGGAAGGAGGGAAGGAGGGAAGGAAGGATGGAAGGAAGGAAGGAAGGGAGGGAGGGAGGGAGGGAGGAAGAAAGAAGAAAAAGAAAGAAAATAAAATAAAAGAAAGAAAG